ATCGTCGGGAAGCACTTCCATTTCAGAATCCCACAGGCCGAGCAAGGCCAGCGCGCAACAAGGCTGGCTAAGTCCCCCAAACAGTGCTCGCACTTGGGGTTTCTTATTTGTCCTCTGAGGAACTGGACCTGAAATTTGGTCTCGCGGCTATGTGCTCGCCGTCGCCGCCCCGTCGCCGCCTCGTCACCGCCCGCCGCCTGGGCCTGTAGCTTGGTCTGTCGGCTATGTACTCGCCGTTGCACGTCGCCGCCTCGTCGCCGAAATTCGTCTGTGTCTGGTTTCGCGCTGCAATCCAATCGTTGACCATTCGATCGGTTGCAATGCAACCGATTGCAATCCAATTGATTGCTAACACCACATAGATGGGTACGTTAGCTCCTAGTCTTGGAACATATTTGGTATTCCATAGCTCAGGGCGTTGTTCTGATTGCACTCCGATCACTGGCAATCGAATCGGTTGCAATCCAATCAGTTGCAGTCCAATCGATTGCAATCCAATCGGTTGCGAACACCACATAGTTGAGCACGTTAGCTCCTAGCACGAATATGCCGATGGATAACACCACCTGGACGAATGTTCGAGCTCCTAGCGCATAAGTGGCATACCATAAATTGTGCCACATCGACTGCGCAACACCTTTTGTTTGAACACACACACACTGTTTGGGGTTCACGCTGTCTCACATTTTCCTGCTGGCAATCTTCCATTCCTTGGCGGCACCGTCACACCCCTGTAACGTCAGATGCGCGTTCCTGCCGTGCGAGCATTTGCTCCGGCCCGGGGTGTTGGTGAGGCAATCGAAGGACCGCTCCATGCGCAATTGGAGGAGCCTGGTGGGAGCACGCGCACTCTGACCGAACTCGCGCTGGTCGAGGTCCGCAGTCCCGTGCGATGGGCGCCAGCAAGAGTGCTCAGGGCGTGGCCCACGACAAGGAGCTCGGCGCATGCGCTTCCCCCTCGCAGGGCCAGGGGTGCTCTAATGATACAAATAAATTACCTCCCACAAATTCCAAAATTAGTGAATCTATTAAATCACGTTTTAATTCTTTAGGATTTTTTTTCATTTTTTTTCAAAACCAACCAACAATGCCCAGAAAGCGCTGCCGATTGCCAGTTGCCTCCCCTGCTCCGCGGTGGCCGGGCGCCCACCCCAGAAGGCATCATGAGTGCGAACGGGGGTAGGGCCAAGGCCCTCCGTCCAACACGTTGGTGACCACGTCTCTCCATGCGGCTCACCTCCCAGTGCGCAGAATGCGCTGGGCAAGTACATTGCAGGACCATCTTGCCGGAGAGGCTGGCCGGCTCAGGTCGCACTTCTCTGTGCCCAGCGTAGTACCACACTGAGGACAACAACGCCAACATACATTCGGGTGTGACATGTCCACTCCAAGTACGCTTGATCGTCCCCGTCCCGTTGGCGCCCGCAAGACATGTGTGCAACGAAGATTTCCGCGTGCTTGATGCTGCTCGGAAAGCGTGCAGATATGCCACTTGTGTAGTCTGCCGTGCGGAATATGTCAAGCGGGTATCGGATGAGGCACGCTCCAGACGCAGGATCGGAAGGCCAAGGAGCTGCGGGAACCCGTGCTTCAGCAATCACGGTCTTCGCCTCGTCTGCAAGTGCCGGGTCGATGTCCAGTAGATCGGCTCTGGTCCTGAGCAAAGGGCTAAAATAGGTTGTGCGCCAAATTGGATAGCACGCCAAGGCTTCGAAAAGTAGGTACAGCCGCACGCCGTCTGACCATGGCACACACGGAGATCGCACCGTCGCCTACGTCTGGAACACACGCGGCAGGTCCGATATGAATGCATGCCGCCTGGCAAACTCGAGCGTCGAAAGCAAGATGATCGATATGAAGAGCACGATTGTGACATATGTTTTCGGAAACATGTTTCACCAGGCGTCCATCCCGACACCCAGCGACGGGCAAACCTAGAGTGGTGTCGGTGCGCACGGGCGACTTGCGTATATGGCCCTTGTGCGTTCGGCCAGGTGGTTCGACACCAAGGGCATACATGCTCAGGGCCGCTCGGACCTGCTGTCGGTGGATCAGGCAAATCAAGCTTGCGGGCGATGCTGGGGGGGTACTGCGGCGGGGGAACCCCTGCCTCAAAACAAGTCCTGTAATATGGTTGCCTGCGCTGCCGCGGCCCTCTGGATCCTGGGCCCAAACGCTCTCGGCATCGCTCGGACGTGTGCATTTTTACTTCGGCGAGGACCATCGAGGAGCATCCTGGATCAGTTGGCGAAAAAACCACGCACGAAACCGAAAAAACACAGGGAATGGACGTCCGAGCGATGGCGAGCGCTGCGTTGACACCAACCTGGCGCGGACAATTCGTTTCCATGTTGCCAGTCTTTGAGGTCTTCGGGCAGATCTGGCAAGACCGGCAGGTCGCGCAATTCATGCTGCATCCAGGAAGGATCATCGAGTACAGTCGGGGCCCTGAAGAAGGAACCCTTTTCGTTGGGGAGGGGCTCCGTGGTCCCCAAGTGTTTCGCAGCTTGCCTCGGTTTTCCTGAGGTTTCCCATCGGGAATCGAAGGTTAACTTATGGAAAAAAGGGGCCTCGTTCCTTATTTAGGGTTCTTTAGGCCAACGCCCCGACTGTAGAGGATGCGCCGGAGACGTCGTCTGGTCCACCTGGATCTGCTCACGAGTGGCATCTTTTATTACACAAGGCCCGTCCAATGAGGGCGACGGCAGGAGGTGGCGCACCTCGTGTGGAAGCACCGCGAGAGGTCGACGCCGCTGGGCTCGCAGCAGCAGCGCGGGACGCGGCCGGTTCACTGGGCAAGGAGGCCGGTATCAGTTGCTGTGTGGCGCCAGCGTGCACGCATGATGCTTCCACAGCTGTCGGGAGGCCAGCCCGCGCACCACCGTTGAACAACCGAATAGGGAGCACGAGGCTGTCAGTGACGTGGGATATGGCGTGTATGTGCGCATCGTGGTTGCTGCAAGCTTTCCTCTGCAGCGCCTTTGCAGATGCCGCTGGGGAAGCACGCTGATGCAACTCCTCAGGCCCCTGGGATCTTGCCGTCGCACCAACCACCAAGGTACGAGTAAGCATGCACGACATTGAAGCGCAGCGGGCTAAGTGAGGGCGACGCAATGTGACGGACACCTCCATCCCGAACCCAACGATCATGACCTTCATTTTTGGTACCAGGGCCGTGGAATGAGGCGAATGTCTTGCCCGGCTTGTAGTTGAGCTGCTGCCCGCGCTTGGCCATGCCGTCGGCCGCCAGAGCGAGGAAGCGTCCCGAGCCCGCCACAATCGAAGTTGCAGGACTCAGTACCAGCAGAGCACTACCATCCGCAGAGGCCACGTTGCTAATGGTAGTGCGTTGTTGCACATGGTCGAACAGATGCGCGTCAAGGGACGGGGACATGTCGGTGGGCAGGGCCACGGTGCCCCCGAACACCCTCATGGGCGTCGCCAGCTTAGACCAGCACGGCAGCAATGCAAGAGCATGCAGCCGATCGGCCAGGGGTTGGCCTGCGAAGAGGGACCGCGGAGGAAAAGCTACAGCGGGGGCTGAACCACGCGTGAGCCATGGTGCCCCCATCGCGTTCCGACTCCTGCGCCTGCACTGCTTTTGGAACGTCCGCATGCTCGAGCAGCCGTGCCTGCTGCTGCGAGTGCACGGCCGACTGGTGCAGTGCTTTCGGGCGGGGGCCCCGCGGCCTGGACGCTGCGAGCGGTGTTCTCGTCCGCCAGTTCGGTGCCCATGATCAGCTCACGCAAGGCCCTGTAGTAGGCAGAAGCAGTGTCGGTGAAGAGGGCTCCGAATGGCAGCTTGCTGGTTGCTGCCAGGTCCTGCATCTGGCGTGGTCCCACGTCCAGGGAGCCCTGCAAACTGAAAGGGGCCAACGAACTGACCAATTGCCGGGGCGACTTTACCGCGAACGCAACTGCGAGCAGCGTTGCCAGCGTGTGAGGAGACACTAACAAAGCGGCTATAGCCTTGAACTTCAGGGCCCAACGTGATTTTCTTGAGCAGGTCGCGGTTGAAAACGCCCTTCCATCGGATCGGTTCAATCTTGGCCATGCAATTCATCCAGCGAGTTGGGCCCATAATTTACCGGGGAGTTTGTCCCAGCCTGCAGCCGATTTGCAAGCAGTGCTGCAGGTGTCCTCAAAATGCCGGATGGTGGGAAGGGCCTCGAGCTTTTCCTTCGCGTTCAGATTGAAGCGGGAAAGGGGCGGCATCAAAGAGACGCTGGAGAGTATAGGCACGCGCGCGAGTCACTCGCGCGGCGAACTCCGTATGTGATGATTGCTGGACCCAAGTATCACCCGCCTCCTCCTCAGCCGCAACGAATTGCCCATAGCCGCATAGAAGAATTGGCAAGTGTTTCAACTGATGTAGTTGTTTGGGGCCGGCTTCAGATTGACGCAGAGGTCTACATGCATGCGAATGTTGCCCCGCAAACACTGCGTAATTGCGCTCGCAACTCACAGATGGGTTGTGCTCATGTGCCCCATTCTCAATCCATTGAGGCCAAGCCTTTCCTTGCCCCACAACACAAGCAAGAAGGCTCGGGACGCAAGTGTGTCGGACCCTCTCGGCCCAGACGTCGGATTCACTGGTGCGTGCCAAATGCGAGCACAGTCAACCTGCGTAGTAAGAATAGGCAGCCTGCCCAAGGGTACCCATGCATCCTTGCTTCCTCGGTCCATCCTAGGACCGACAAGGAGTCGATGGAAGAGGCGGAGGAGTTGGAGGAGGAGGAGGAGGAGGAGGAGGAGGAGGAGGAGGAGGAGGAGGAGGAGGGGGAGGAGGAGGAGGAAGGGGGAGGAGGAGGAGGAGGAGGAGGAGGAGGAGGAGGAGGAGGAGGGACAGCAAGGTGTGAGAGGAGGGCGTGAGGAGGAGGAGGAGGTGCATGAGGAAGGAAGATGAGAAGGAGGAGGAGGAGGAGGAGGAGGACGACGACGACGAGGAAGACGACAAGGGGGAGGAAGGAGGAGCGATAGGAGGATGGTGGCCCTGGCAGGTTCCTGCTCGCGAACCGCCCGGGCTTCCCGTTCCAGGGCAACGACCTGTTCCGGGAGACGGGCGACGTGTACGCCCCGCACGTGATCGAGAACCCCGACTTGGACAGCGAGGCCCAGCCCAAACCTCTTCGGCATCGTCCTCCTCATCATTCCCCTCATCCCTCTTCCTCGTCCTCCCCCATGCCCTTCTTCCCAGAGGAGGAGCAGGTATTGCTACCGCTACCCTGCCCTCGTGGTGGCCTTTGTTGGGCCGCCTTGGGGTGCCCGTGTCGCGACGGCTCGATCCGCTTCGGAACCTTTCTCAGAACGCACCCCGGCAGAGTTCTGGGCAGGAGCGCTATTTGGTGGTCCCCAAACGTGGTGGTGAGAACACCCGGTGGTGAGTTTTGGGCGATTTGAGTAATGCTTTTCGAGCGCTGGCTGGCCCAGGAAACGCAAAACCTCGTGGCGACCGCGTGTCCCCAAACCCGGCGGCGACCCAGAATTATTTGTGGGGGGAATCGGGGTCACCACCGGGTGTCTCACCACCCGGTTTGGAGACCACCAGGCTATCGAGATCTGTCTCCTCCACGTTGCTATGGCATCCGGGCTGCGCGCAGGCAGGCCCCCGGGAGTACGTGGGCCCGGCGGGCCTCGGCAGGCCCCCCCCGAGCAGTCCGGGGCGAGCTCCACACCCTGGCGCCGCCTCCGGCGACGCGCCTGGGGCGCTCCGCGCCCCGGTTGGGGTGTTGGGACCGCCCCGGACCATAGCTGCCTCGATACGCCCGTTGGGTAGCATCGACGAGGGGCGAATCGTGCGAAGTCACGGGGCGAGGCGACGCGCGACCCCCGAGCGCACCCCGCGGCAGGTACGCGGGGAGAGAGGGGGGTGCCCGCAGTCGAGAGCGTGTCCTCACGGCCCGCTGGCTCTCTCGTCCGTCTCGTCGCTGTGTCGGCGGCGATGCCTCGTAATGATACGCAACACGTGCCGTACTCCACGTGTTGGACCACGTTTGGGCGAGTGTATCGCGTGGGACCTACGTTTTCAGCCTACGTGTTGAGCTCCGTATCAACACGATACGTGTTGCGCGTTGCGTATCGGGGCAGCTAAGCCCCGGACTATTCGAGAGGCTTGTAGAGGCCAGCCAGGACCACATGGGGGGGCCGCTCGTGCGCAAGCAGAAGCCTTACCCCTCCATGGTCTTCTCCATCCTCCGAGGAGGGAGAGGAACACAGCATTATGGGCATATTTCTTCTCGTCCTCCTCGAGCATGCCCTCCTCCGCCGCTCTCCTCATCGAGCGTACGGTCAGGAATGTGATTAGCGTGTCGCGCCGCCGGTTTTAGCCCACCGCGCTTCGGCGCGACGCGCTAAGCACGTCCCAGTCACCAAGCATTTACGTTCCGATCTTCATCCAGCCTTCTGGCCCACAAAGCAGAGTGATATGCTACAGCTTGCAGGGCATAGCGTGACCAGGGACTGCCGCTGTGAGACGCTGAGCAAAAGTTTCTCACAGTAGTCTCCTCGGATGATTCCTTACCCTTTACCCTTTTCGTCGAGTCTCCCATTGCCCCTCATCCCTCCTCTCTCCACTTCAAGGCTCAAGGGTTCTGCTTCTCCTGCTTCTCTTACTCATGCACATCTCTCTCTCTCTTTCTCTTTCTCTCTCTCTCTCTCTCTCTCTCTCCTCCGGTTTGTCTATGGCCTCTGCCAGGTAATCCTTGTTGTTTGGGGGCGCACCTCTCAAGAGGCACGCTGACCCTGGCTCCAGACTGCAGTGCGAAATGTTCGAAGGTATCAGGTCCACATGTTGCAGCGTTGCTCAGCCCAGATGATGCACAGTCATCTCTCTCGTCCTCCTCCTCCTCCTCCTCCTCCTCCTCCTCTTCCTCTTTTCCCCCTCCTCCTCCTCATCATCATCAACAACAACAGCAGCAGCAGCATCAGCATCATCGTCATCATCATCATCAGCAGCATCATCATCATCTTCATCATCATTCCCATCAGCATCACCATCATCAGCATTGGCATCATCACCATCATCATCATAAACATCATCAGTATCCACTCATCATTTACCATTCATCAGCATTGTTATCAGCAGCACAGTCAGGATCAACACCATTATCAGCCACATCACTATCATCATCATCATCATCATCATCATCAGCATCAGCATCAGCATCAGCATCAGCATCAGCATGATCATCATCATCATCATCATCATCATCAGCATCATCATCATCATCATCATCAGCAGCAGCAGCATCAGCATCAGCATCAGCAGCAGCAGCAGCATCATCCTTCCCTCTCTTCTCCCTTCTGCTCCTGCTCCCTCCCTCCTCCTGCCTCCTGGTTCGCGTGTTGCCTCAACGGCGGTTCCTGGAGATGCCAGCGAGGAGAAACGAGACGCAGCGACCGCGGCAGCAAGCCTCGACGGTGCCATCTCCCTCTTCCGCTTTCTTCCCGCCTAGACTTCCCCCCGACCCCCCTGTGGGAGGGCGCCCCCCCCTCCTCCTCCTCCTCCTCCTCCTCATTCCTCCTCCTCCTCCTCCTCCTCCTGCTCCGCCCCCTCCTCCTTCCCTCTCCTCCCGTTCGTCTCCTCCTCCCTCCTCGTCCTGCCCTCGCCCCTTCCGTCTCCTCCTCCCTCTTCCTCTTCCTCCTCCCTCCCCCGCCCCTTCCTCCTGCTCCGCCCCTGCCCCCCCCCCCTCGCTTGGAGGGCGGGCGGGCGGGCAGGGCCGCGCACTCCAGCTCGGGGGACGCTGCAGGCCAACCTGTGGTCTGCTTGGCTGCCTCGATGCGCCCGTTTTGATACGCCACACGTGCCGTGCTCAAAACGTCCGTGGTCCAATTCGTTGCGTGTTGGTTCCACGTGTTGGACCACGTTTTGGCGAGTGTATCGCGTCGGACCTTCGGTTTCAGCCTACGTGTTGAGCTCCGTATCCATACGATACGCGTTGCGTGTTGCGTATCGGGGCAGCTGAGATGGTCTGAAGTCGGGCACGTCCCTCTACAGGAGGAGTAGGCAAGCATTGCCCACAATAATGGTCTGGGGGCGAGTTGTTCTTACTACGATGGGTTATTTCTGGATGCTTCTAGGAGTTTTTCTGGGCACAAGTTCCGCCTGTAGGAGGCCATGCCCGACCTAAACCGATGGTCGGCGCGCTGAAGTGCCGCGTCCGACCGACCGACCAGCCTCCTGTCTGCCCCATCAGGTCCAGCTCCTGACGGGGTACGCGCCCGACGTGGATCCCCCCGTGCTGCGAAGGCTCAGCTCCGCGTTCACGGAGCTCCGGCGGCAGGTGGACGACGGCCTCCTCGCCTACCCCTACAGCACGCGCGAGCTCGTGAACGTGTCGAGACACCTCCAGCGCTTCCCGGAGCAGAGCGTCGGGGACGCGCTGCGCGACATCCTGGACTTCGACTGCCACGACCGGCATCCGAGGAGCAACAAGCTGTCTAGATCTATGCTTTCGGAGGTCCGTTGCGGACGTCTTGGGTTGGCGCTGGTGGCCCCCTTGGCGGCGCCTCCGCCGCCGCCCCTGGCGCCCTCCGCGCCCCAGGGAGGGGGGGGTCCATCGCCGATCCAAGAAACCCGCGCGGGCCTCTGAAAGTTCATTACACCAGAGAAAAGCCCCAATCAGTGGATTGTGTTCGCTGAGGAGATCCACCGGGAACCCGGGAGCCCAGGAACCCAGAACCCACCGAAATCGGCCCAGAACCAATAACCGGGAGCACGGGAACCCGGAACCGGGAACCCAGGAACCCAGCTTGCTACCAACATCGGCGAACATGTGTCGCCAAATCTTTCAATTTCCGCTGGGACCCCTTCAGTGCAAGCACTGATTGGGGAAAGGTCGGGATGCTGAAAAATAGACAGGGTTGGGCTCGGGGAAGGAGGAGGAGGAGGAGGAGGCGGAGGAGGAGGAGGGGGAGGAGGAGGAGGAGGAGGAGGAGGAGGAGGAGGAGGAGGAGGAGGAGGAGGGGGAGGGGGAGGAGGGCAAGCTAGGTGCGCTCGCGTCATATCTGACGTCCTACCCCTCCCTCCCATCCCTTACCATGGCGCTGATTTTCTCTATCCGAGCCTAGTGGGTGGTGGTGCGCGTGCGTGCGTGTGCGTGTGCGCGTGGTTGTGGTGGGTGGTGTGGGTGGTGCTGGTGTGGTGGTGGTGTGGTGGTGTGGTGGTGTGGTGGTGGTGGTGGTGGTGGTGGTGGTGTGTGTGTGTGCGTGTGTGCGCGTGTGCTGTGGCATGGCACGGGAAATGACGCCAGCGCTGCAGCGGGAGCACGAGTCGAAATGGGCGGAAGCGCGGAAATGAGGCCAGCGCTGCAGCGGGAGCACGATTCGGAACGAGCGGAAGCACGGAAATGAGGCCAGCGCTGCAGCGGGAGCACGATTCGGAACGAGCGGGACCCGAAAATGAGGCCGGCGCCTCGGCGAGAGCAGCATTTGCTGTGGATCTGCATCACAAGGAGGCTACGGCGCCTCGGCTACTTTCAGGCCGCCATCGGGGGAAGAGGGAGAGTAGTATTCACATTGAGTAATTGTGGAGGGGGAGG